CACTGGCAGCCAGCCCTCCACCACTCCCCAGGAGCAGTCTGCTGGCTCCTAGGAGCCTGCCAGGGCCTGGACAGCCAGTGCTGTAATCCCAGAGAGAGTATTGATGGAAGTCTAGATTGTCTCCCCATGATCCATACATATAAGAATCATTGGCCCATGGATATCCTTTCATCTTCACAGGAGAAATCTAGTGGCTTTGCTTTTACCATAATTATTTCTGAATGTTTTGATGGCCTCCTGTTCAAAGAATGTGATACACACAAAACTACTTCCACTGGCCAATTTAAGAGGGGAGACGCCCAACCAGCAGAATTTTATAACATTTATTTGCACAGATAACTTACAAAGGGTTTACTAGATTCTCTGTTCTCCCCCCCCCGCTTCTTTTCCCCAGTCGCACTAGAGTTTCATTCCCTCCCACCCAGTTTTGTTAAATAAAGAGTTTGTGTTCATGAAAATACGTGTATTTTATTTGACATCAGGAAGGGAGGGTAGGGAGGGGTAAGGGGAAGGACGTGAGGGAAGATAATGGGCTGCAGAGAGAAGACATCGGTAACCTGCCCAGCTGGTTTCAGCCAGGGAGAACAATGGATGAAGAGAAGGGCCCAGGAGACCCTTTTTACCAAGACAGAAGACAATGAACTGGGGAGGGGCTGCTTTAGGGGAATATCGGAGGCTCAGCTGGAAGAAGAAGGTTTCTGAATGGGACAGTGACAGAACAGGTACAGCTCACCTGGTTACAAGGGAGACTCAGATGTGATAGGCTGAAGGCCCAGGCCTACAGGCCTGAGGGAGCCTTTGCTGCATTCACACCTCAATAAACCCTCCTGTGTTATACTGGTTGAGAGTTACTCTGGTCTGAAGAACAGGGTTGCACTATTCCTTCTGGGAGTGGAGGCTCCAGGGGTTCCCAGGGAGTAGAACCCCCAAGGGGGCTCATGGCAGAGACAGGCATGCTGAAAGGCGGAGGGGTGGATCCTCCAGGAGAGGGTGGACTCCCCGAGAAGGGGTTGTCACACTAGAGGAGGGGGGGAACCCACCCGGGGACCGACGGGCCAAGCGTGGGCTTGATCTGTGAGCTGTGACAGCGAGTGTCCCATTGGCTCAGCCATGAGTACATTCAGTGCACTCTCCTGGCTGACATAGCAGCAATAATGAAAGCCATTTTCAGGAATAAACAATACGTTGAACACTCATGGACAAACTTAAAAGACATAGATCACACTATTGGATGTACAGTTATATAAGCCTCTGATGTGGTGGCTTACGTGGTTAGGTCCTGTGATGATGCCCCTTATATAGACGTGTGGGAAGAGCTGGCATTGGAGTTTATTGCAGGGATGGGTTCCTGGGTAAGTATGTCTGAGGTGTGCTGAGTGGTTGCTGGAAAGAATGGTGTTTCAGGTTAGGAGGTTGTCTGGAGGCGAGGATTGGCCTGTTCCCCATCACACGACATAACCACATAAGTCACCACATCAGAGGCTCATACAAATGCCCATCCAGTAATGTGATCTATGCCATCAAGTGCCGGCAAATGCCCCTCTGCCATGTACATTGGCCAAACTGGACAGTCTCTATGAAAAAGGATTAATGGACACAAATCAGGTTTTCAAAATAGTAACAAACAGAAACCTGTTGGGGAACATTTTAACTTGCCCGGGTACTCTCTAATGGCTCTAAAGGTGAGTATACAATTTCAAACATCAGCTGGAGAGAGAAACTGCAGAACTTGCCTTCATATGCAAATTTGACACATTTGACAATGGTCTGAACAAACTTTAACTGGATGGGCTGTTATATTCAACACCCAAATGACATCAAAAGCTAAGTGTCAAGCACTTACAGCCCACACTATTAGCCTCATTTAGCACAGACACCCTAATTGACAAGATTTCCCCCCCCCCCCATCTCCTCTTTTTCTGCTATTTATTTGTACCTCTGGACCCCTTTCTCCATTCATCTGAATAAGTGAGCTGTGCCCATGAAAGCTCATGATACCATCTACATTTTTTGTTAGTCTCTAAGATGCTGCAGGATCGTTTGTTTTAAAAAAAAAATTTGTTACAGACTAACATGGCTACTCCTCTGAGGCTGCGTCTAGACTGGCATGATTTTGCGCAAAAGTGGTTGCTTTTGCGCAAAATCTTGCAGCCTGTCTACATTGGCCGCAAGTATTTGCGCAAGAACCCTGACTTCGTAATGTACAAAATGAGTGGTTCTTGCACAAATACTCTGATGCTCCCACTCAGGGATAAGCCCTCTTGCACAAGTATTCATGTGCAAGAGGGCCAGTGTAGACAGCAACGTTAATTTCTTGCTCAAGAAAGTCCGATGGCTAAAATGGCCACTGGAGCTTTCTTGTGCAAGAGAGCGTCTATACTGGCACAGATGCTTTTGCGCAAAAGCAAATCTTTTGCGCAAAGGCATATGCCAGTATAGATGCTCTCTTGCGAAAATAGTTTTAACAGAAAAACGTTTCCGTTAAAAGTATTTGCGCAAAATCATGCCAGTCTAGACGCAGCCTGAGACTTTTACTCATGGACAAGTTCAAACAGCGATTTTACCAATATGGTTAAGATAAAATTGAAGGGACAGGGTCGCTAATAGGAGGATGCACATATCACAGACCTTTCAGAAACTTTTAAACTGAAGCTTGAACAAGCAGCACTCTGCAATCCACTGAGCCTGATATGCAAAGGCAAAACATTTGTTCTCAGCTTTTCCAGGCAACTGTAACTCTTCCACAGGCCAATTTGTCTTTGTTCCCCAAGTTTTGCCTCACTTAAAAACAACTTGCTTACAAAAATCAGACATCAAAATATCAAAGTATTGATGTGCTATTACTGAAAAAATTGCTTACATTCTCATTTTTCATATAATTATAAAATAAAATCAATTAATATATACATATTGTACTTATATTTTAATGTGATACTAAAGCCTGTTTTTAACTTGTGAGCGCTGTCATTTAGTATCTGGAGAGCAATGGCTGCTGGCCATGAAGTTCATGTTGTTTGCGGAGCAGGACAATTTTTTTTAATCCCTCTCCTGTCCCACAGTATCCACGCCCTCCCCCTGCACTGTTGTTGAATTTTTTTATTTAGCGTCCACTATTATAGCATTGGGTCCTCTAGTGCTGATGGGAGCCCAGTCCCATTGGAGGATTTTATGGCCTGTTCTAATACTAGGCAAATCTCTAAGGATATGGCTACATAGCAGGACTAAATCCAAAATAAGCTACACAACTTGAGCTATGTCAATTGCATAGCTTAAGTCAAAAAAGCTTATTTTGGCTTTTGGCACTGTCTACACAGCAGGAAGTCCGAGTTAGAGGCACTTTTCCTCTGACTTTCGTTATTCTTAGTAAAAGGAGGGTTAGAGGATTCAGAGTAAGAACTCCTCCAGCTTGCCATTATTTTGACATTATGTTGAAGCTGCTGTGTGCTGTGTAAATGCAGACTATGTTATTTTGTAATAGTCACTATTTCGAAATAATGCTGCTGTGTAGACATAGCCTAGATGAGTTGATGTATCCTCTGGAAAACCTTTGCGTACCCTCATGGTTGAGAATCACTGATCTGAATCATAGAATCATAGAACTGGAAGGGACCTCGAGAGGTCATCGAGTCCAGCCCCCCGCCCTCAAGGCAGGACCAAGCTCCGTCTACACCATCCCTGACAGATGTCTATCTAACCTGTTCTTAAATATCTCCAGAGAGGGAGATTCCACCACCTCCCTTGGCAATTTATTCCAATATTTGACCACCCTGACAGTTAGGAATGTTTTCCTAATGTCCAATCTAAACCTCCCCTGCTGCACTTTAAGCCCATTACTCCATGTCCTGTCCTCAGAAACCAAGAGGAACAAATTTTCGCCTTCCTCCTTGTGACACCCTTTTAGATATTTGAAAACCACTATCATGTCCCCCCTTAATCTTCTTTTTTCCAAACTAAACAAGCCCAGTTCATGAAGCCTGGCTTCATAGGCTTCTCTAGACCTTTAATCATTCTTGTCGCTCTTCTCTGTACCCTTTCCAATTTCTCCACATCTTTCTTGAAATGTGGCGCCCAGAACTGGACACAGTACTCCAGCTGAGGCCTAACTAGCGCAGAGTAGAGCGGCAGAATGACTTCACGAGTTTTAACAATGGATGAAGAGAAGGGCCCAGGAGACCCTTTTTACCAAGACAGAAGACAATGAACTGGGGAGGGGCTGCTTTAGGGGAATATCGGAGGCTCAGCTGGAAGAAGAAGGTTTCTGAATGGGACAGTGACAGAACAGGTACAGCTCACCTGGTTACAAGGGAGACTCAGATGTGATAGGCTGAAGGCCCAGGCCTACAGGCCTGAGGGAGCCTTTGCTGCATTCACACCTCAATAAACCCTCCTGTGTTATACTGGTTGAGAGTTACTCTGGTCTGAAGAACAGGGTTGCACTATTCCTTCTGGGAGTGGAGGCTCCAGGGGTTCCCAGGGAGTAGAACCCCCAAGGGGGCTCATGGCAGAGACAGGCATGCTGAAAGGCGGAGGGGTGGA